TTTAAACTTTCGTTTGCAAATGGTTCTAGTTATTTGGAACTAGACAATCTTGCTGCCACTTCTTTCTGAGTGCACAAATAACAGCACTGAGGCAGTGGGTGATTGGAATAAAGCAGATGTAAAGATTCTGTTAAATGACTAATGCAGGACAGTGGGCAACTTCAAATGATTTTGAGTGATGGTTAAATATCCAGATGGATATGTTTTTTGATGCTTACTAACTTTTAGGTAGTCCTTGATGTAACCATTCTGAAAGCATTAATAACTTTCTCTAAAGCAGCATTCAAACCCAAGCTTTGGATGCAGCTGCTGCTCACATCTGCTTACTCCTGAGGTGCTGGGCCTGCCTTTGTGCTGCTGTGTATTGTGTGGGTGTCTTAGATATTATCAGTGGGCAGAAAATACTTCACTGCTGCTCCTGGACATGCTGAAGCCTTTCCAGCAGCCTGTATTGCAAACAATACACCTCAGTTTAAAAGTGCTGCCAGAGAAAAACCTTCACGTGACGTTTCTGTGGCTGCAGTTGAATATTCAGTTTATTCTGGATTCGTACAAGAAATAAATCCGTGTGTGTACTGCTCCAGAGTATTGCAGTTCACCCTCAGAGTGCTGTGTGGCTCATGCAGAAGCCTGTGCTGTAATTGTGTTTGGTAGGAACCTGTGTGAATTCCTTCAGGTGCTTGTCATGAGACAGTGTCCGTGTGTGTCAGCAGCCGCCGCCTCGCACGAGGCCTCAGGGTGCTGTAGGATAAGGAAGAGACAGTTTTCTTCCTCATTGCATTGCTTGTACTTTGTTTGCCATGCCATGACCACACCTGGATAAAAGCTGGCAGTTCTTAGAGCAGCTGGCCTAAAGCCCAAGCCGTGGTGGCCAAACGCTGCAGCCCAGGAGCCTCTGCTGAAGCTCCAGGCTGTGACATGTGGCTGTTGACCCTGAGGCAGCTGTGGAGGTGCAGGATAGGGCTGCTCTGTGCTCAAGGCATTCTGCAGCTTTGACAGATTTTTAATACTCTTAGTAGGTAGTTAGGATTCCATCCTGGTTATTTTCTCTAATTGAAATTCCCCTGTAGTAGTGACTCAGGCTTCAGCCAGATTCACATTCTGTAGCTGCCTGGCCGGGATGGCAGCAGGAGAACTTTGGTTTTTTTTAAATCTCTCAGTTGTCTCACCCACTCCAGTGACATTATGCTGTGCTGTAGGGAAGGACACTGGGGAGGTGCTGAGACAGCTTGGGCTGCCTTGTGTTTCCTGTTCCAGCTGAGCCTGTTCCCTGCCTGCTGCTCCAACAGACACTGCCTGGGAACTCTGACATTCTAGAGAGGGGAAGACACTGATTTCCCACTGTTAAACTTTCTGTTGCTGTTTAACTTGCATGGTGCTTCCTTAACTTTTTTTTTTTTTTTTTAAAGTCATAGCATGATCAGGGATCAGGCTTCTCTTGGCTGAAGGGATTAATTGTGGGGGAAGGCTGGGTATCAATAGGGATTGTAGAAGAAGGTGTATTTCTTTTTACTCTTGCTTTACTGTTGCAGCCTTACCCATTGAAGACTACTGGCAGTTATTCTAAAAACTATTCATACATGCAAATGCTGAAGGGAAAAAAAAAAGGCAAGCAGGAATCCTCTTGAATGCTAAAAAATAGTTATTTGAGAGTTTGAGAGGATTATAATTTCCAGTGGCCTCTTTTGAACAGCCAGTCTGGCAATTACTTTATTTATAAAGCTATAAACATATTTTGAACATAAAAGCCAAAAAATACAAACTCAGTGAAGTAAAAAAATTACAACAAATGATGGATAGTCATTGGACAAATGAAAGTACAGCTGCAAAACATTTATCCCTGCTACATACATACAGTGATTTTACTTGGTTTAATGAAGTGGTACTTCCATGACTTCTACATTCAATCTGATTTCAGGAATTCAAATGTGTATTTCAGGAAGAGTTAAAATTGCTGTAAAATAACTAAAAAATTCTTGTTGAGATAAAAATGTAAGGGCAAAGTTTTCCTTCTATTAAAAAAGAATATTAACACAAAATAGCAACACTTCATATAGCAGTTCTAAAGACACTTTTTTTGGTATTAATAAGAGTAACTTTGTTTTGGCATCAGTTATCGGCTGTGGGGCATGGAACAGAAGTCAGTTGTGCTGTTTTGTCTTGGAAAGGGGCAGCTTAGAAGATATCTCTTCTGTGTTTTGGGATAAAGATAAGTCAATTTTCTGTTACCCCAGTATGAACTGATTACAGCATATCACAAGGGGGTGTTCTGAGTTTATCCTGGCTATAACCTGTATGTACAGAGCAGAGCACGGGCAGGATGAGGCTGTGGTGGAGATGGGTGTAAGTGCTCCAGCTCTGGAAATGCTTCTGTGCCACCCGGGCATGAGGAAGGGCTCCTGGAGAGGGGAGTGGTACTTCCACTAAGGAGATTTGGCAGCAATGGGGTGGAGTAGCGATGAGAGGAGGCTGTAATGCAGACGGGCCTCTGGCTGGTCGGGGCAGGGACCACAACACCGAGGAGGGGCCAGAGGAGCCTTGAAATAATGGGAGAAAGTCCCAGAGTGTGAAATGAGTGAGGGCTGCTCTGGGTGCTCGCGCTGCCTCCTCCTCGGCCAGGTTAATACTGATCAGGGCCTTCCCCTCAGCTCCCTCTGCTCTTACTCACACCCATCTGCTTTTTCCTTTACACCGGCCTTTGCTTTGCTGCTAAGTTCCATCTTCCATCCCACCACCGAGTACCAGTGGGGTGTTGAGTTACACCAGCTTTACACCTGGTGTGGGGCTGGTCTGTCATCTGTGGTGTTCCCTTGTACAGCACTTTACAGCAGAGGGGCTCACAGCAACAGATGCTGAGCTGAGACATGGCCATTTTTTAAAAAAACATTTTCTTTGTCTTGTTTCTTTTTAAATCAGATTGGAGAGACCATGTCAGATCTGGCAAAAGTCTGCTGAGTTCCTCTGTTCAGCACTGGAACATGCTGTTGGCTAAGCTTACTAAAATAATTTAAAATGAGCAGATTGCATATTGATCTAGTGCTATGTAATTAACCCTGTGAGTGCAGTCAGTACAGGTGGCATTGGGTCAGGTAATGCTACTTCTCTGAGGGTTAAAATGGTTCAAACTTTAAAATAACTCTTTGCAAACTCATCAGGTTTGTGCACGTAGCTTTCAGTCAGTGCTTCTGAAGTTACATTTACACAGGAGAGGAATAAAGCAATAGGTTTAGATCTTCTAAACTAAAACCAGAAAAAAAAAATCTACACTGCTGTAAGCAAAACTACCTAAATAAAGGGAATAAACCCAAAGCTGCTCTACAGACTAATCAGGTTTGGCTTTTTTTTTTTTTTAAATTTTAAATCTTTGAGGCGTAAACTTGTTTAAAAAGTTATGTTTAGTCCAATGTAAAAAATTAGGGTTTGTGTTTTTGCGTTAAGAAAAAAAATATAAAAATATTTTGTACATTATAAAGGTCATCTTAAACTTCTCGCAGTTCTACAATAATATTACTACATAATTTGTATTCAGTACTCCAGAACCTATCTATCAAATAGGAAAAAAATAGACCCCCCTCTTCCTTTGTGTGGTGTCATTTTTCTCTTCAGCAGTCTGGAATATATTTCTTTCAAGCAGGAAAAAAAATTGCACTGGACTAGATTGTGACCTCTGTGAGAAGTCTGTAAACCTGAAGTAAATCCAGAACTTGGAATTATTTGGGATTTACACCAGTTCGGGGAGATCATAATCCGTCCACAGTGTTTTTTGTTTATCAAACTCAAAATATAAATACAACACCAGAAACCGGCAAACGTTTTCAAGCTGGAGAGAACACATCAACATTTGGCGTCGTCATGGGGGTGGAGGGAGAATCTTTCAGAAAAAGCTAGAATAAGGTTTTTTAAAAAGTCACACACTGAATCATGAAAAACAGGGTTCTGATCTCACCGAGGGTTTTGATCTCACCGAGGGTATGGACAGACTTGGCTGCAGCCGAGGGCAGGGCAGTGCTGCTGTCCCGGGGCTGGCAGAGCTGTGCTGGGGCAGAGCTCACCCCTCTCCCCACAGCCTCTGCTCAGCAGGAGGGGCCGCCTGGGCCAGTGGGATCCTCAGGGCCTTGCCCACGGCCCACCCTGCCCCCTGTGGAGGGGCACAGTCAGTCAGGGCCTGCAGCATCAACACAGGGATCTCTGAGGCTTTGCCCAGCCTGTCTGGTGGGATTTCTGACCGTCCTCATCTGCAGAAGACAATCTCTAACAGCCAGGGAGACCCTGCCCCTGACCAGTGCCCCCAGTGACCATCAGCCCTTCCTGGGGTCAGTCCATGCTCCTCCTGCTGGTGCTGCACCACCGTGGAATGGGACACGTCTGTGTTGCCTGTAAACAATATCTTCCTGTTCTCAAACAAGAAGTGTAAAAAATTCCCCTGGTTGGTTGAAGTATTTCATTTCTCTATGAACCCGGTCAGATCAGAGCGCTGGCACCGCTACAGTTACTTTTCAGACAGAAGGGCTTTTAAAAAACGCTCCTATTCCAGCTTTTCCAGCTCCATGGTGGAATGGCTGGGAGAGATCCGTGAGTGACTACACTTTGAAGCAGCTCAGAGGGCAGGGGGTGGAAGCCAGGGTTAGATGGACAGCACCTACCACCTACAGCAGCAAGCTGGGGACTGGGCTCTGCTCTCCGCCACGCTGCCAGATAATGCAGTAAAAAAACAAAACCCCAAACAAAACAAAACAAAAAAAGCAGCACAGGGCAGGGACAAAAGGCTTGTTTACTCATCAGCACTTTAAATTTTGGCAAGTACTTATTTTTGAATTTTTTTTTTTTTTTTGAAATCGCTTTTCTACCTTTATCACCCGTCCCCTCCAAAAACAACCAACCCCAACCGGAGGAGTTTTTCCATCACCCTCAGGGTCATCCCGCTGCGTGTTTGACGGTGAGCTGGGGGTTCGGCCGGGCCCCTGGTCCTTGTCCGGAGGAGCCGGGCGGGCGGGCAGGGACTATGTCCCCGCGGGGGCGCGGCTGTGCGCGGGGGACGCGGCCGCGGGGCGCCGGGAGCCGGGTCTGGAGGGGCCGGAGCCGGGTCTGGAGGGGCCGGAGCCGGGTCTGGAGGGGCCGGAGCCGGGTCTGGAGGGGCCGGAGGCGGGCGGGAGCTGCGCGGGCACCGGGCGGGGGTCGGGCTGGTCGCGGTGCGCGGGGTCGGCGGGGGCTGCGAGCTGCTCTGACGGGAAGGCGGAGGGGAGGCATCGGAGTGCGTCCGGAGGGGATGGAGGCGAGTCTATAGCACTTCCATCGGAAGAAACTGGGCTGGCACAGCGTCCTTCTCCTTGTAGGTACCGAATGCACTTCTTTTTCCTCCTGGAACAGCGGGAGAGAGGGCTCGGTCAGTGACGGGGGGGTCACCGGCAGCCCCGGTGCTGCAGCGCTGCGGGGACACCGCCAGGAGGCGCCGGGAAAGGATCCAAGGAAAGGGTCCGAGGGAAAGGGTTCGTAGGGAAAGGGTTCGTAGGGAGAGAGTTCGAAGGGAGAGGGCTCCAAGGGAAAGGGTTCGTAGGGAGAGAGTTCGAAGGGAGAGGGCTCCAAGGGAAAGGGTTCATAGGGAGAGAGTTCGAAAGGAAAGGGTTCATAGGGAAAGGGTTCGTAGGGAGAGAGTTCGAAAGGAAAGGGTTCATAGGGAAAGGGTTCAAAGGGAGAGGGTTCAAAGGAAAATGGTTTGTAGGGAGAGGGTTCCAAGGGAAAGGGGTTTAAAGGGAAAAGCATTCCAAGGGAAAGGGTTTGAAGGAAAAGAGTTCCAAAGGAAAAGGGTTTTAAGGGAAAGGGTTTGAAGGGAAAGGGTTCCAAGGGAAAAGGGTTCAAAGGGAAAAGCATTCCAAGGGAAAGGGTTCAAAGGAAAAGAGTTCCAAGGAAAAGGGTTCCAAGGAAAAGGGTTCCAAGGGAAAAGAGTTCCAAGGGAACACGGTTTGAGGGGAAAAGGGTTCCAAGGGAAAGGGGTTTGCCAGTAACGTCGGGAGAGGAGGAGGTCATGAAACCAAAATCAAAAAACAGTAATAAAAATGAAAATAGAAAAAAAAAAAAAAGAGAAATAATAACCCCCAAAATAATAATAAAAATAAACCCCGCAAAATGAAAATAATAATAAAAAGCGGAGCAATATAAAATAATAAAATAAGAATATAAATAATAATACTAAACACGATAAAAATAATAAAGCCCCAAACAAGAATTAAAATCAGCCCGGGAGGTCACTCCTCACCAGCCACCACCCTGGCTCCTCAAATTCTGGGAGGCTGTGTGGGGTGACCACCTCACGAGTTCAGGACCAAAGCACTGCCCCCCCGGGGTCACCCCTCCCCACAGAGCCCACCAGGGCCCACGGGACACACGTGTGCTGGTGCCAGGGGGCAGTCACACCCCCGTGCTCAGCAGTGCTGAGTGGGACACTGCCCTTCACACCAGTCCTGGCTTTTCTCGTCCCAAAATCTGAAGGTTCCAAGAGCTCATTTCCCAGCACTTTCCTAGACTCGTGCACAGTATCATCTACTGGTTTGGGTTGGAAGGGACAATAAAGCTCATCCTGTTTCAACCCCGTGCCATGGGCAGGGACACTCCACTAGACCAGGTTGCTCCAAGCCTTGTCCAACCTGGTCTGAGCTCTCAGCTTTTCTTTTGGCAGCAGGAGCCCCTGCTCTCAGCTATTTGTGCATCTCTAAGTATTTCCCAGACATTCCCATCTCCAAGAACAACTCAGTGATGCAGCTGAGTGGAAAGTGCTCAACAGAGATTCAGGAGGAGGGAAGGAAATGGCCTGGGACTGGCTGGAGGTGGTCAGAGGCTGTCTGAGGTGTTGCTTTGGATGCTGGAGCAGTCCAGGTACAAAATGACAGATTTGGCAGCAGGACCTGAGTGGCCCTGCAATGGTGCCAGACTCAGTTCCATGCTCCCATTCTGTGGAGTGTGACACACAGAGCTCAGCAGCTGGGGAAGGATTCACTGACCAAAAGGATTTTTCCAGGAAGTACCCCATGGCAGCTCTCCTCCCCCAGCCCTGCTCTTTTGGCAAGAAGCCCACTGGGACTGGGAAGGTCCTGAAGACAGCAGCACCTCAGAGCAAGGACCAGCCTCCCCTCATCCCTCCTGGAGAAGATGCTCAGGTTTCCCATTTGTTTGGATTTCACGATTTGGGGGTCTCAAAAATCCAAGTTACAAATCATTCTTGCTGTAGCTGGTTTAGGACACGATTCCTCCACATCCCTGGACAGTTCTGTTCAGTGTTTACCCTGAACTCCAGGTGTCATCTCATGCACCTGATTGTTTTAACTACCCCTGGCTGTCCAGAGTCAGTCCCTCACACTGTTTTGTCTTTTACACACTCTGTTGAGCTGGTTTTCCTTCTCTCCATGTGACAGATCCCTCGTGTCACTTGCTGTGGGTCCTTGAGCACCTCTGCAGAGATCCTCAAACAAAAGAGCCCTCAAGATGTCACCTTAACAGTAGCAAGGGGACAACTCCTCTGCTGGAGATGGCATTAATGACTTTACAGCTAAAACAGGTAGAAGAACATCTTCCTCCCACCCAGCTCCCTGCCTTGGCTGTCTCATTTGAGGAAAACAGATCAAATGAGAACTCGCTAATGCGGGCACACACCTTTCTTTGATCTCCCTAATGAAAAACCAGACATTGTGAGAATGTGTATGAACTAGTCCAGTATTAAAACATGACTTTCACTGGATGTGAACAGGAGCAGTGCTGTTACTGCTGTCAGTGCCATCGTTAGCCGTGGTGACCCAATTAATGCGATAGAAACAACGGCCTGGCTTTAACTCGCAGGGTATTTTCCACGGGTGGTAATTCCCCAGGGCAGACAGGCCTGAGGAGGAGCTGTGTTTCCCACAGACACCTCAGGAGTAGCTGCAGGATGGAGTTTCAATGACCTGTTTGAGATGACATGAATCTGTCCATCAATTCATTGATCTGATTTACAGCAATGGGGGGAAAAGAGCAGGTGTGATACTACAGACTGCTGATAATGGACCAGTCCGTGGGTTATGCTGAGGGGGATGGTTTATCTAACCCCTTTAGCTAAAGGGGTTTATCTCCCTCCTTTTAGCAACTTATCCCTCTCCCTGTAGGAACTACAGCACTCTGGAGTGTTTGTCCAGGGTGTGAAGGAGAGGGTGAAAGCTCTGAAGCAGCAACACCCAGTCTTAACCAGGTAACCTCTCCTGTGGATGGAAACTCTCCTGGGGAAGTTGTTCTCTGCAGGTGAGCAGAGCAGGCAGGACAGGAGCCCTGGAATGTTAGTGCAGGAATTGCAGAGCAGCTCTGGCTGACCAGGGTTTGGTTACACAGGGGACACAGTAAGAGCATGCCAAGGTCTCTGAGCACTCCAGCAGCCTGTGTTAATTGGGAAGCCGTGCAGAGGAGAAGCTGAATTCAGAGTTGCAGTGGAGGCAGAGCAAAGGTGGAGGAACTGCCCACAGAGGCCCAGGGTGCTCAGCCTGGCTGCAGGAAGGATGGGGGCCTCAAACAGCTCCCTCTGGACATTCCAGTATTAATGAGACACTAAGGGAGCTCTGTCCAGATTCTCAATCAGTTAAAAAATGGTGCGTGATGACACTATCTGGGGTGTAAAAGGTGAGCAGGGAGCTCTGCTGTTGTGGCACCCCGAGGTGCAGGAGGGGAGCTCACCTGGGGCTCAGCCACAGGGACCAGAGCTTGGGGTGCAGCAAAGTCTGGGCCAGATTTGGGTGCACTGAATGATTTCAGTCACTTCAAGATGCATTAAGCACATCAAGCCATACTTTACTTCCAGCTTTTCCTACAGCTCTCAATGCATTGGTATAAAAATGTGCTGTGAATCACAGACCTCTGTCCAGCCTGGAGCCTCCCTGTGCTCCAGTGCCCGGGTCCAGAAGCCCCCATGGAGCTTTTTCTGCCTGGCTGCCTTCACAGCCCCCCTGAGCCAGGCAGTACTTGGTTGATGCACTGAACTTTCCTATCTCCTGGCCATGTCCATTCCCTGGAAGCCTGAGGGGCAGGGCACTGCACTGTTTTGCTGCTCGAGGATGTCCCACCCCACCCATGGTGGGTACTGTGAAATTTAAGGGTCAGGAAGAGCTGGATCCTGAAATACATGGTTAGCCCAGTATAAATGGGAAAAAGAAACCCATTAACTCCTCACTGCTGGCCCTAGGGTGCTGTTTATGTGATTGGAAATCACTAACGGGGGGGAAAAAGCCCCACATCAGGGTCACAGAGGTCTCCACCCTGGAAATAAGCTTTTAAGACCAGGGAATTCCATCAGCTGAGGAATATGTACAGCACTACACCAACACTGCCCCGGGGGTGTGAGAAACCCAGTGTGCAGCCTGACCCCTGCAGCTCAGGCAGCAGCTCCGGAGGATGCCCAGGGAACACCCAGGGAACACCCAGGGAACACCCAGGGAACACCCATCCCCGCCCGGCCGGAGCTGCCCCCGCCGGCACCGGGAGGACCCTGGAGCTGCACCCACTGTCCCAGGAGCACCCCAGCAGCGAGGAGATGCCGATACACACCTGCACGGGCCGCACCAGTCCGTTTGTTGGTTGAGGCCAAAGCGAGCTCTGCATTTCTTAGGAGAGGCAGGATCTGAACACAGAAGCATGCGCGGCGAGAATGGGCAAGGCAGAGGCACAAAGAGGAGGAGGAGCAGGAGGAAGAAAAGAGGCAACATCATTTTAGCCACTTGAACACACGACTAACAGACTACAATCCCATTTTTTTTTTTTTCCTGCTGGCACCACCTCTCCTGGAAAAAAGTGATCGTTAGGCAAATATCGGTGATCACTGCTGGCAGCTGGAGGAGGAGGTTTGGGAAACAGCTCTGGGAAACGTGGGCAATTACGGGGAAATCCACGGACCTTCGAATTTCTTAAGTTTGGAGATGCTGCCAAATCCCAGAGGCACTACCTGGCTCCTGTGTCTGCATCCTTACCTGCTCCCTGCCTTCCCAGCAGCGACTGCCAGGGCTGCCAGCGAGCTCGGACTGCGCATGGAAGAAAGAGGAGGAAACGTTGCAGAAGCAGCTGAAAGCAGAGTTAGCACCGAGGAGACCTAGGCCAGGTTATTCCACTCTGTTCCCCCCATCATTCCCCTTCCAGTTTCAGTGGAAAAGCTCTTCTCCACGGCCTTTCTAAAATGTTGCAGTTTTACTGTTTAATTATGGGACTCATCAGGGTGAAGCCCTATTTGCTTTCAGGCACATCCTGTTTTTCTCTAGTGCTGCAAATGGGATTTGAACATCACATTTCTGTGCTGGATTCAGCCTCCCTCTCTCAGGGAGGCTGCTGTGTGTGACCAGCAGTTGGTTTCAATCCATTATCATTTTTGTATCACACAGACAGGACATATATAGGGATATATAAATATATATATACACTACATATAAGCCTGAAAACTTGTATTCCCTTCATCAGTCTAGACACTGAGTAAGATCAGTAGTGTTAATTAAAGTGAAGATATAACTGCGACACAGTCATGGAACTGCTTTTTAGGGACAATTTGAAGACGTCATCCAGTGGCGATTCATTAAATTAATAAATTTGCTTAGATAGCCAATAGCTTATCATATGGATGGCACAGTTTCATCCAGAAGTAAGAGCAATGAGCAGTAATGGACTGGTGAGCTGGAGTGTGGGAAAAGCTCTTTGTGACTCTATAGGCAATCCCAGAATGGAAACACTGGGAAAAACAGTCTAACTTCATGTGTAAGTGCTGCCACAGTGGGCAAGGACAGTCTCTTGATGGTTTATAACGAATATTTATTGGTACAGATATTATTTGTTCCTGATATGGCAGAAATACTTCAGAAATCAGCCCAGGAATAGCTTTGGATGAGGGCGATATATCTGAAATCTGTCAAAGGGGCCTTTCCTCATCAGCACTGGGGTGCAGGGAGGCAGCTGGTACTGGGTTTTAGTATGACTTTGCTTCAGCCTTGGTTACTTTGAAAAGAAAACCAAACTTGGGGTAGCCCCATGGGTGATCTTCAATCCTGTCACTGCATTTCATCCCACCCACACTCCTGATGCATTTGAGAGCTTTCTTTAATTGATGACACCTGTAGGTCTGATGGGCACATGCACCCTGGATGTTTTCAACAGATTAAGTTTAGTGATAGTTTATATGAAGTTACACACTCGCCAAAATCTAATCTTTTCCATTTTCACACACTCCCCATCTTCTAATTCAAACACGTCCATGAAAAAGTCACAGGAATGTTAATTTGCCATTTCTTAAAAAATATAATAAATGTGTGTTTCTCTGGTTAAGCTCAGGAGAATAAAGGAAAACATGGTAAAACACAACAAATGCTTTGGATTATCCCCTCTGAGCGGGAATGCAGGGACAGCCACCCCACACACACATTTACCTGAGTTGGAATCTTGCTGCTTTTCCCGTGTTCGTCTCTTCTTTTTCCCCTGGGAAATCAAAGGAAAGGCTGTTATCCGTGCTCCAGGAGAAGGAGGGTGCTGTGCAGGGTGTTTGGGGCTGGACTGGTGCTGCTGGCTCAGCCCATTCCAGGGAGAGATGAACTGGGAAAGGCTGCAAAGGGACTGCTACAGTTTATCTATCAACAGCTGATGCTCCTGCCATATTCTTATTTCTCTTCCCTCTTTATGTTTCTAAAAAACCCTCGGCCCATTTTAGCACCTTCCCTGTTTCCAAAACGTGCTTTACTGTGGTGCCTTATACCCAAACAGAAATTGCTCCTTAACGTTCCCTGATTTCAAACGGGAAAGAAGGTTTAAGGAAATCCCCAGAAATTTATTTTCAAATCACACTGACCTATTTCACTGCTTTTGCAGCTCTGGACCCATCTCTCACTCTTCTTTCACTAACAAGAAAGCCCTGTTTTATCCCCAAACTGCCTCTCTTGATTCACAAGACGCAGCAACTCCCCTCCTGCCCTAATGAGCTGATTAATGAGGGCACAGCAGCGCAGGAGCAAATCTGGCTGTGAGGAGCAGCAGCTCACAGGGTTGCCTTTGACCTGTGACTTTTTATATGACTTCTTGTGGTTTGAGTGAAGGTGGAAAGCTCTGAGCTGTGGTGAGCTTTTTCTTCAGTGGGGGAGCAACTGTATTTCCTGCCCAATATCCGCATCATGTGCTGCAGAAGTGACCTACATTCCTCCTCCTCCTTCTCCTCCTCCTCCTCCCTGCTCAAGCTCCGCAGAGAAAAGCATCTCTTCAACAACCACAACACCCAAACCAGCTGGTCTGCAACACTGGGAGGACCAATATCCATCTTCTGGAGCAAGGAACCAGCCCGTGATTCCCCAAGGAACCAGATGAATGATGATACAGGTTGAGATTTCCATGGAGGGTGTGCTTGGTCTTGGTGCCGTGCCCTCCAGGTGTTAATGTCCTCCAGATGTGTGCCCACCAAAATGTGGGCTGGGGGTTTCCTCTCACCTCTGCTTTTTCTGCATCATCTCTGCCCTCTGGTTTTTAGGGGGTTTTGGGGTGGTTTGGGCTCTTTAAGGGTGTTTTCCTGCCCTTGGTGGAGTTTGGGCTTTCTGGAAGGAGGGCTGTGGTCAGTGTGGGATGGATGGGAGCTCACTGGGCAGCTCCCAGGGGAAAGAAACTGTCTGTGAGGGAAATGATGGAGCCTTAGATCAAAGGGACAGAGTCCTTGAGTGGATGGACAGACCTCTGAAGACTTATGTGTGCTTCTCTTCAGGTCTCTAACGAGCTCATTAGGCACAACAAGAAAGTCACAAGGAAAAACCCTTTTCAAAAATATCCACTATTTTAAACCACAGAATACTAAAATGGTTTGGGTTGGAGGGGACCTTAAATATAATCCTACAATCCTGTTTCAAACCCCTGCCATAGGCAGGGACACCCTCCACTAGCCCAGGTTGCTCCAAACCATGTCCAACCTGGCCTTGAACACTTTCAGAGATGAGGCAGCCACAGCTTCTCTGGGCAACCTCCCTCCCTTACCACCCTCACAGACACCTCAGCTGCTGCCCAAGATGTTTTATGTTTCCATAAAACTGTATTTCCAAGGACCATCCCCATCACTTCAAAGCTCCTCTTCCTTACTCCTTGTATTTGCTTGGACAATAAGCAGACAAACACCTGTGGTAGCTGGGGCTGTACCATTCATCCTATAGACAGGCAATAAACCAGGAGGGTGCTCCAAATACTCCTGGAATGTGAATTCCCACAGCACTGGTGCCACCAGGAACGACACTGCCTGGGCCGGGTGGGCTGTTTGGCAAACACCAGCTGTCACCCCCGGGGTCATCTGGGGCCATGCCAAGGGAAGGGGGCCCGAGCAGGGCGGGCACTCACGTAGTTGTCTCTGGCAGACCAGCCAGGGTAGAGCTGCATGTGGAGCTGCCGTTCCTTGCGAGCCAGTTCATAGTACTTGGCCTGTTCCTCCCGGGACAGCGCGTGCCACTGCAGGGACACACACAGAGCAGTGAGACATGGCCCCGCTGCCCCCTCCCAGCCCACCCACCACTGACCCTGCGTGTTTAAGGGATAAGAGCACCCGGCCTCGAAGCAGATGCTTGTTACGTGCTGAAGAGCAGCTGCAAGGGGACGGGGATGTGGCACTGGGGGGGTGGTGCTGGGCCCCACGAGCTCTCACCCTCCTTCCCAAGATCTGGTTGATGGCAGCGCTCTCCTTCAGGGTGCACTCGGCGATGACTTTCGCCCGCATTTCTTTCATATACAACATGAAAGCGTTCAGGGGCTTCTTGATAGTGGGCTTCTTGGCTTCCTTCTCTCTCTTTGGTTCTGGTTGAGGTTTCCTTGGTGGGACCAAAGGAGGAGCTGTCAGCACCAGAGCCATCCCCCAGCCTGGTTCAGCAGAAAACTCCCCCCCAAACCAACCCGACAGTGGGGGGCCAGAGCTCTGCACCTCAGGTGCAGACAGAGCTCGGTGTTCACCCACCCTGCCCCCAAAGGGGCATTGAGAGGGATAAATGAAATGGGTGCCAAGGTGCCGTTTCACGAGCCCTGCCTGCACTTCCAACTCACATGTTTCGGTCATAGTGCTCCATGTCCTGCTTGCCGGAGTGGGGCACGATGGCGGGGTGCGGGATGCCGGTGGTGTGCATGCCAGAGCCCAGCATCAGCGGGTGGGTGAACCTGCAACAGAGAGCGGGTGAGCCGTGCCGGGAGGGCAGTGCCGTGCCAGGGCTGTCTCACGGGATGGCACTCGGACGTGGCGGAAGCGGACGGAAAGCAGAGGACACGGAAAGCACTTGGGTGCTGCCAGGCTGGCGGGGGGTGGGCAGTGCCCACCACCCCGGGTCACCCCCGTGGGCACGCGGCTGGAAAGGAACCGGTGCCACGGCGAGGGAACCGCCCGCAGCGGGAGCTGGCCTGGCCGAGGTCCAGGGCACTTCCAACCAGCAGCTTCAGCTACTCAGATCTCTGTTGCTGCAATATCTTATTAGCACTGCACAAAGAAACAACAAGCTCAACCGGGGCTTTGGATGGGAGAGATGAGGACCACCCCACACCTTCCTTTTAACAGAAACAGCCTAAGTCTGAACACGAACCCGACTGCAACTCTAGGAGGTGCACCTTGCCTGAGCAATGCTCTCCACAACACAGGCTGAGATCATGAGAGGTCTTGCTCGCTCTCAGGCTTCATTAGCTCTCTCCGGAGTTTTGGAGGGTAAAGCCAGCACAGTCAGCTTTGCCAAGCTTGCCACTTTATGACTGCAGCTTGAGATGGCAGAATTGCCCATGGGAGATGAACTGTTCATTAGATATGCTGGCACGAAAAGAAAAGCTGTTTAATTTAATCCACCAGCACAGTCTGATCCTTATCTGACCAGGTGTACTTTCTCTGCTGCAGCACTGCTGCAAAATCCACCCCAAAATCCTGCAAGCAGGAGCTCGGGGAGGCTGCTGGGGCTCCGGGGGGAACCGTTAGCTCCTCTTGCCTTCACCTTTGAGGCTGTGCAAGGCTGATGCCTCATGAGCAAGGAGGGCTGGCAGCACTCCCTCCCCTCTTCTGCAGGACTAGGGGCTCCATGGATGGGGGATGAATGGCATGGATCGAGGGTTGCATGGTTCCAGGTTTCTGCATGGCTAAGGGCTCTCATGAGTGAGGGTTTGCCTGGTTTTCCTGTGGGAAATCTCCACTAAAAGCTCTTCAGGACAACATGAAGCAGAAGCAAAAGCTGGTGCATGAGCCCAGACACCCCTATGGAGCCACGGGGGCTTTGCCCAGCAGCACACCTGGAAGGGCTGGGCTCTGTCATGCCCATCCACAGGGGATGTACTGTGCTCACCTGAAGGCAGAAGCTGTGCTTTTGTCTCACAGAACTGACTTGTGCCCGATGGGAGGGCAGCAAATCACTGCCCATGGCCTGTCCTGCTTTTAAAGCTGAGACCAGGAAAATAGAGGGGTCTCTGCAGAGCAAAGCTCAGTGGTGGTGGCAGCAGGGAAACATCCAGGATTAGGGTCAGTGGCACGGAGCAAAATCCTGAGCAATGGATTCCAGCCCTTTTTCCCAATGCTGAGCTGAGGGCTGGGGTTTCTGGCTCTGTTTAGACTTCTGCTCTGTTAAAACCCAACTGCTCTGCATCCTTCATCCTCGATGTTCCCCCGAGCACCCTCTGGACCAGACACTGCCTCAAAGCGCCTTCTCTCCCCACGGCTGCCCCGGGGCGGGTGCGTGGCTGTCCCTGGGGGCCGTGGTCTGCTGCAAGCTCCTGCTGCACACACTGCAAGCTGCGAGAGCAGCTGAGCTGCTGCCCTGTGTCACACAGCTCATACTCACCTGGAGAAAGAAGCCCCAGCAGAAAGCGCGGACGAGTACGGCTGTCTAAATCCACATGACGGGAGCGGATAGACAGACTGGCTCTGCCTGGGATCAGGAAGAAAGAGGCTATAAAGTATCCACAGCTACGTGGTGTTTCCTAAAGATATCCTTTGCTAAGGGGACTCGGAGCACCGATGCCCCTGGCTGGCAGGACACTCAGGCTGTCCTTTGGATTCAAGGGGCCCTGCAGGACTTAGACATTATTTTGAGAGAATCTGGACCTTCCTACAAAGGTTGGATTCGATTCTGACCCCCCTTCCAACCCTGGTGCTGAGCAGCTCTGCAGCTTTGAGTTTATCTGGTTAAAATGCAAAATGCACAGGTGCGTGCTGAAAAATCAGCTGCTGTTGCACAGAAGAAGTTGCTAAAAAGAGCACAGCTTGACCAAAAACCTAAAGCCTAGTCAGAGTCTCTGTGCAGTGCACAAGAGGCTGCAACAGGAGGATGAACATGAGGAAGAACTTCTTTACTGTGTGGGTGACTGAGCACCGGAACAGATTGCCCAGAGAGGGTGTGGAGTCTCCCTCACTGGGGATATTCCAGGACCATCTGGATGCAATCCTTTGCCATGTGCTCTGGGATTGCCCTGCTTGAGCAGAGAGGTTGGATCAGATGACCCTCTGTGGTCCCTTCCAGCTTTACCCATTCTGTGATTCTGTGATCATGGAACTTCCTGGTGTCTGGAGAAAAAGTACCTACTCTCTTGTATTCAGGGATACTCTGATTTCCCCAGCATATAATTTCAAGGATGCCCATCAGTTTTAAACAGCCGAAAGCTCATTCCTTTTCAAAGTGCTTTCATACTGGGGACTGGGCATGTACCAGACCTGGAGCTGGAAATTATTTCTGAGATAGTAAAATAACTATGCAGGAAGTTCCTTGTTGTTCCCAGCAAGGGAACCCCCACATTTTCATATGGAAATAGCTCAAAAATACCTTGGCTTGTTCTGCAAACCCACCAAAAGATGCTTCCAGCCTAAAACTGCACATGGAAACTGAGATTATAGAATCATAGAGTGGTTTGGGTTGGAAGGGACCTCAAAGCCCATCTTGTTCCAACCCCTGCCATGAGCAGGGATACCTTCCACTAGTCCAGGCTGCTCCAAGCCCTGTCCAACCTGGGGCACGATGGGGTGCTTACACCTGCACTGGTGCTCGTGCTCCTCTGGCTGGGCTGCACAGAGTTGTGCCTAAAACCAGCACCAGCTATTTTCAGCTCTAATAACCAAAAACCCCACCAAAAGTCCACTATCATCAAGCGTGGCGCCCTGCAAAGGGCCGAGCTCTGGGGTGCCAGAGCTGGGATTTTTCAGGGCCAAAGACAAGTTTGTGCCCTGCAGAGGAACAATGACAGTGGGGCAGCAGTCAGGCCCCTGAGCCACGCTGGGCAGGAAGGAGGTTCCTGTTTCTGTTGCTCAGGGAGCTGCTGTGCCTCGGCTTGACCGAAATCTGCAGGATCTGTGTGCAGGGAAGGAGCCGGGGCGGCGGGGCTGTTTACACCCTGCCAGGCAGGAGCCCTCTCCCACCCCTTAGATGTCGGCGGGTATAAACACACCAACAAACAGCCAAGTGCCGCCGCACCGGGAAACCCAAACAGCCTTTGAAGTTGGAGGCGGCTGCCCCAGGGCCGAGAAAACACTCGGAGCTAATCCAGAAGCGACCTGCGTTACTCCAGAGGCTGGGATACACCGGGATAGGAACGGAGTCAGGCACTCGCAGCTTCATCCGAAGTCCCTCTGACGTGCAAATTAGTGCAGCTGTGAAATCAGCCCCTGATGGTTGGGAATGCACGACTGCAGCCCGTGCCATGGAATTACAGACTGGCTTGGGTTGGAAGGGACCTTAAAGCTCATCCAGTTCCACCCCCTGCCATGGGCAGGGACACCTTCCACCAGCCCAGGTTGCTCCAAGCCCCGTCCAACCTGGCCTTGGACACCTCCAAGGATGGCACATCCACAGCCTTTCTAGGCAACCTGTGCCAGGGCCTCACCACTCTCTGAGTAAAGAACGTCCTTCTAGTATCTAATCTAACTCTCTCCTCTTCTAGTTTAAAACTGTTCGCCCTTGTCCTATCACTATCTGCCCGTATAAAAAGTCCATCTCCTTTTTTATAAGCTCCCTTTGTGTACAGGAAGGGGCTGTGAGGTCTCCTCAGAGTCTTCTCTTCTCCTGGCTGAACAGCTCCAGCTCTCTCAGTATCTGTACACTCAGAGATGCTGGGAGGGCAGCTCAGACACAGCCATGGGATGGCAGTGCCGGGGCTGCCAGGGCACCAACACACTCTGCCCAGGGCACAGGAGAGTCACACCATGTGCAGGTTCCTGGCCAAGGTGAACTGCCAGGCTCCATGAGCAAAACTCACTTGACTGGACTCTCGGAGGCTTTTATCTGACTGTCATCCCAGCTAATTACAGAGAGAGTGATTGCAGCTCCTCCTCCCGAAGCGCTCGGTGAGAACAAAACCCGTTTCTGCCCAGCTCCTGCCTGCCAGCTCGTGCAGGAAAAGTTGCTTCCTGTGTGTGGCCATCCTGGCTCAGCAGCTGACTTGGTGGCACTGGCACAGGCACAGAATCATGGAATGATTGGGCTGGAAGGGACCTTAAAGACCATCCAGTTTCAACTCCCCTGCCATGGGCAGGGACACCTTCCACTATCCCAGGTTGCTCCAAGCCCCGTCCAACCTGGCCTTGAACTCTTCCAGGGATGGGGCAGCCACAGCTTCTCTGGGATGCATCCTTGGCATGACCATCCCTGGCACACAGCCCCTGCTGCCACGAACCTGACGGGATTTGGTGCCAACACTGGTGTGCTGAGCCTCAGCTGAAAACTGGGCACTCCAAGAGTGGGTTTGAGGCTCTTTCCATAAAGTTTAGGCAAGGAAAAGAACGAGCAAAAGCCCTATTAGGCACACGTGCCTCGAGGTGCTGCTCTCTGCATGTCAGGCCGTTGGTTGCTTTACCATATCTGCTCTATTAGTCACTAATGAAGGCATCTGAGGATGCCAAACCCTGTGGATGCTGAAGAAGCTCTCAGCCATGCAAACTCCCTCTACCACCAACTACCCCACAAAATCTCCACAACAGCCAGACTGCTCTAACTCCATTCGCCCAGGGCTGCCTGAACAACACCGTCCCATCCCAGGAGTGGACCTTCCTTTTGACAAACAGGCTCATTTCTCTCCATCTCCCAACTATTTCTTTCATGTTACAGCACAGTCGCCCCAGTCCTTGTTTTCCCTGAGGATGAATCACATCATCTGAGGAGTTAAATCATCATCCAAGAGTAGCAGATTTAGCACAGAAGGTGAAATGTAATCTCTTTGAAGCCGAACTCTGTATCAAAGGCCTCAGCTCCTGTTTCCTTGTGGTTAAATATCTGGAACACGAAATTCATAAACAAAACAAAGCAAAAAGCTCCCCTCTCCCATTCTGCAATTGGTTCTTGTACCTGGAGCTCTCTGTGGGGCTTTGCTGATAAAAATCCCTCAGCACTGGGAGGATCTGGCCATCTGCCCCCATGATCACCCTCCCTGCACTCTTTCCCTGTCCTGACCACCCTGAATTGCCACCTGCAGCCACCACCCTTTCTGTCAGCCTCTGCCACACCTCTGTGTCCTCAATGGGGGTTAAAAATTAACCCAAGGGGTGACGATGCCCCCACGGCAGCCCCGGCCAGCCCCGCTCCCCCGGCGCGCTCGCGGTCACGGGGACACAGCCAGGGGACACGACCACAGAGCACACACTGGTGTATTTTTAACTTGTGTGCCTGGGGCGGGTTTCCCAACAGGCTCTGCTTTGCAGGATGCTCCTCAGGGCTGGCCCATGCAGGAGGGACATTTTGGGAGCGCTCCAGCTCCTGGTCCCTCCTTCCCCATCCCCACTGGGACAGCAGTTCCCACCGAGACAGCAGTGCTGTGGCCAGGCTGTGGGTACTGGGGTCGTTTGCTGGGCAGGTCTCTGCCATGGTGTACTTCTTCCTTGTGTGTCAGACCCTAAGAAACGCCACGGCCTGGCAGATAGATCATCCCACAGGATTACACTGTGCTGGTGGCACGCTAAGGGAAAGCACTATTTGTGCTGCAAACTCCAGCAAGGGAGAAAATTACCTCCCACTCAAGAGAGAGACTTTTGCTGGGATTAGGAGGGATAGGTAGGAAGCTTTCCCTGGGTTCCCTAATCCACACAGGCAGTTGGATGTAAGGCAGCAGACAGTTTTGGCTCAGGCAGGTTGTAACACCTCTCCAGGGGTGCCAGGATGAAGCCCTCAGCCTTTCCACGGATCTGCTCCCCATGTGTGACACAGGACTAAATTCTGCCTGTTCCCCCAGCACACAGGAGGGATGAAGCTGTGGGGGGATGAAGCACCGTGGAGGTCAGGGAGGGCACTGTGGGTGCTCAGTGACCCGTCTGTGCGGAGCGTCCAGCGCATGGGGCTGTGTGGGCAGAGCCCTCCTCACTCACCATCCCATCGAGGGCGTGATCTGTCCCACTCCTCCGGGGGGCAGGGGGTAGAAACCAGGGATGTCTGACGTCTGGGAAGGACGGTGCACTCCTGGAAGAAGGGAGAAGGAGATCAGTTGGACCCAGCACCGCATCCCCCAGCTGACATGGACCACTCCCAACCCAGTCCCCTGGCTGCTTCATCTATGGACACTTGTCCAGCAGGCCATATGTATGTGAAATATCTGTCTGCAAGTGGCAGGATACTGCAATTCCCCTTTATTTGCTGTGGTTCTCTCCGTGGGGATGTGGTGGGTCACTCATGTTGCTGCAGAATCACCAGCTCGGGTAAGGTGGTGGGGAATGCAGCTCGTTCTTGTACAAGAATCATCCCTGCTCCATGCCACCCTGAGGACAAGCAGCAACTTGCTTTGCTAAGGATTTAGTTGACTCCAGGCATCCCTCTGCCCTTCCCAGAGAGCCTCATGAGGTGCTCAATGGATGGTCCAAGCCGTTCCTATGCCCCGTCCCCATCAGTCACCCGTGGGACCCCCCGTGAGCAGGCAGTGGGGATGCTCCAGCAGGCACCACTTCTATCTCCATTTTAAAACAATTTGAGTTCAAAACAATTGTTCCGTGGGCTCTGTGGGTGCCAAGGAACTGTGGAGGTGGGTATGGTGCCAGCTGGGAATTCACCCTTCGCACGGGGAATCCCTGTGGGATCTTCAAAGCTGCTGGCACGGGCAGCATGGCCAGGGGACACAGCCCAGCACGGCTCCCTTTCCACCTGGACTGGAAAACATCCTGCAGAGCCTGAGGCTGAGGGTGGGACTCAGACAACCAGGGAGCTGCTGGCAGGAACAGCCTCCAGCTGACCCCTGCACTGGGAGACTGGAGGGGCACTGGGGCTGAGCTCTGCTGCACAGGGGTGTAACGCTGGCTGCTACCCAGCCTCAGACAAAAACGGGACAGGGATTGTCCACTGGCTGTCCTGGGTGATGAATACATGGAATAAATTGGCGATGAGTCGCAAGCAGCCGCAAACTCAGAAGTCTGGATTATTTTTTTAGGTGTATTAATGATTAATTATTAATTAGGAATGACACCAACAGATTCCAAGCATCTTATTAGGAGGTAGCTAAAATAAATATATAACTGACCTGAAAGGAATATATAACTTAGCATGAGATTTGCTTCAAGTGGGACTCAGCAGCCCTCTGAGGGTCAAAGAAAACCAGCACTCACGTCAGGCAGCTGCTGGAATATCCTGAGATTTGCACCTCCAACAGTGTAAGTTGCATAAGCCAGAGCACAAGTTATTCTTGCTGGCCCAGTGGTTGGGGCACCAACCACTGACTCAGAATTCCTGCTTGTATTTCCTTGTCTGTGTGTCCTTGGGCTACTGTGAATACTTTAAAGGCATGCTGGGAGAATGAGTATGATGGTGACTCTCAAGTGCTTACACTGGGTGATAATGGGAGCTATTTCAGTGATGGAAACAGAGATGGGACACATCCAGAAGGAACAGGGAAGAAAACCCTCGCCCAGCAATACAGGGATGGGGTGTGATCCCAGCTGCACCATGGAGGCAGGTCCCAGCTGAGGATGATGGTCTGAACCTCTGCACAAATAGGACCTGGGGGTCTCTGGGAGGGACAGACTCCCCGTGTCTGTAAATGCACAGGATATACGGGAAAGGGGAGACTGGACAGTGCCTGCACTGAGGGCACACATGGGTGGGCAGCCCAAGGACAGCTTCCCAGAATTACTGACCCACCACAGAACACTCAGGGACTGCCCCAGTGCCAACTGCAGCCTCCACAGAGGGACACAACCAGCTCATCCCTTGGGTGAGCTGCTCCTGTGCTGCTCAAGGCTTCCCAGGCCGGCAATGAGTCCCAGGAGGCAGCTCACAGCAAGGGGCAGGGCTCTGCCAGGCACTGCCAAGGCAGAGTGAAGGAGGGTGTGTCGGGTCACCTTCCCTGCAGACTCAGAAATCTGCAGTCTCCTCTTGAGACTCAAACTCTGCCGTTACCTGAGCTTCAACAGGTTTATTTTGTTAACTCTTCCAATTTTTCTGCTGAGTTTATTATGCTCTGGTGGCTGAGAAGCAAAGTGCTGGCTGGATGACAACCAAGATGTGCCTGGGTATCTCTTACACCAGACCTAAATCCTACCCATTGCCATCCCTGGTGAGTCCAGAACGTGGCCCCTGGGTTCAGACCAGGGATCACTCAGCCAAGAGCATCCTTGACAGCCCATTGTTTTATCAACAATGTTAACTTGGTGAAGCCGATGCCTCCAGGACAGTTTGGATCTCTCCTGGGTGGAGGCCTTTGCCCAAATCACAACAGTTGGTTTTGTGCCTCTGTTTTGGCACTGATTTCTGGGCTCTGATGGGCCCTGAACTCCTTCCTGAATACAAAACTCTGAATTTGCTTGCTTTCCCACAAAATCAAGATCATAGTTGTGTAAAAGCCTGGATAATCTGAAGAGAAGTTCTGCACTAATGTAAGCTTGAGAAAAGTTTGATTTTACACTCACTTCTGCCAGTAACCCATGAAGAATGATGGAACGATAAACTGGGGTGAATTCCTCTGCACATACCTGTCTTTCACAGTTCAGGGTATGTTTTACAGTTCAGGGTTTAACCTCTGTAGCCTCAAGAGCCAGCTGACGTGGCCTGAGCTCACACAGGAACCCGAAGAGCCAAACCGTGTGACAACCACACAGTGTGTGGCTATGGGGACACACATGTCACAATCCAGTCAGCTATCAGACACCAATCCTGTTTAGTCAAAATATTTCCTGTTTCAAGCATTTATTTTCTCAAAACGACAACCTGACAACAGTTTGGGTATGAGTCAAAGGAAAGATTACTTTCCATTTTCTGGTTGACTCTTGCGCATCACCGCGCAGCCTCTGCTCTGGTCTCAAGGTACAGGACAGCTTGTACAGAGAGCTGAACCCACCCCATCAGCAGGGCTGGCACTTTGGATACCAAACTGCCCTTACCCAGGATTACAAGGCATTGCCAATAAGTGAAATAACCTGCTACTGCTAAGCAACGCCCCAGCTCTTGACTTTTCTCACTGATTTGGGACCAGGAAGGTGTCAGCCTTCACCTCAGTGGTCTCCAGCACTGTCCCCCTCCCACCACACAGGTCCCCAGCACTGCCACTACCTTGTTTCTGGTTGATGTCAGCGGGCAGGTGGGGCGAGTGGGAGCCGTGGCTGAAATGGTCGTTGCTGTACGGGATGAGCGGGGTGAGCGGGTGGACTCCGTGGGACGGCTGCACGACGGGAACTTTGTTGGACTGCAAGACACAAGGAGGGAGAGCACTCAGAAATCATCAGGATCCATCAGCAAAAAGGGCCAGTGCCCTTTGCAGTCCTGTGATCGGAGGTGAGGCTGGGAATGACTAAAACCACTAAACAAATCACTAAACCAACATTACAGCACCCTGCTAGAAAAATCCATAAATGAAGCAGGGACAACAGCTGGATATGATTACATGGATAGGTGGAAAACAGATCAAATCAGCATGAAGTTTTCAAAATTCAGAACTTTTTTTAAATTCATTTCCAGTACCTTTTATTCCAGGATGAATGCTACAAGCATGTTACCCAATGCAGTGCTCTTGTTCTCTGTTGTGTGCTACCACAGGGTCTAAATCTGGACTCTCACATCTTTCACATTCACTCAAAACCATGCTTGGGCTTTCCTAACCAGGGTTCTCATGCAGGCACAGACACAGAATCATTTAGGTTGGAAAAGTCCTTATAAAGACCAAGTCCAACCATTAACCCAGCTCTGCCAAGGCCACCACTAAACACTGAGGGCGACGCCTTTGAAAACATGACGTGGTCACCAGTGAGCCCTTGGGCTGAAATCCCCCTTGGACTGAGGTCCAGCGCTCAGGGAGAAGGACCAGGGGGAGCTGAGGCAGCACTGGGGATGCATCAAACCCAGGAAACTAAGCAAAGAAAAACCTGTCTCCTCTTGCAGCTGCCCCTGGTTAAACACGGTGAGGCCGTCGGAGACCAACACCTTGTAAAAGGCTCTTTTTGGTGAACATAATGGGAAGTACTTCTGTGTGTTGGAGCAAAGAGAGGGGAACCTATTCCAAAGAGCTGCACAGTTGTAAGGAACACACACACACACACACACACACTCTCTGCCATCCACACCAGCCTCCTCGCCCCGAGCGTCTCACGCTGCTCCCGACATGCCTGGTTTCGCCCAGGGTTGCCTTTAAGCCCAAACTGACAGGGCCAAGCCTTGGTGGTGGAGTGTTAGGATTTGTCCCAGATAAATCCAGAAATAGAAACAGGACAGATAGACAAAATGGGGAGAAAATGGCAACAGAGCAGGTCAGACAGCTCTGCGGGGGCTAAGAGCTGTGGGCATTGCCAGTCAGACCTCTGGTTCCACCAGGGACTGCAGATGATTTGCTGTGTGACTTTTGACAAGTCATTTAGGATCCCTGGACTCGATTCACTGGTGCCTTTCACTTTGGTAATGATTTTGCTCAGGCAGAATGAGCATGAAGCTCCAGTTGGCTTTGGTGGAGGCGGCACAGATGGACACAGGGCTCTGGTTGACTTGTCCTGGACCTCTCCCAGCTGCTCCAAGCTGCTTGCACAGCAGATTGGGAGTCCTGGGCAAGTCCTGTGTTTTGCATCCCTGCTCTGAGGAGGAAACCCGTGAAGCGGAAAGGAAAATAGGCCGATGGAGAAGCCACTTTACATCTGTCTTTCCCACAAAGGTTTGGTCATGCAAATAAAAACCAAGAGGCATGCAGGTTTGCATGTGAGAATGAATGAATACCCTAATTCCTGATGCTTAACAGGGGTAGATTTACTGTGTACAGTGGGATAGTGGGAATGCAACCCCCCTTCCCAGCACAGACTGGTGTGGTGCAGGAGTTCCTGTCCCGCAGCAGGGCCATGGGTTGTGTGGTTTTCCCACTGAGAGTGGTGCTGGGCTGGCTCCTGCTTACTTAAATACATGTTTGGAGCTCTGAGCTTTTTCTATTCTTAGCCATGAAATGAGACAAAGAATAGCTTTTCAGCGATATTTCTAAAATTAGCTTTGGCTGAGCTTGTTTAAGAGCCACAAAGCCCAAATGAGGGATATGCTGTCTTACACGTACATTTGAACATGACACTGGAGCAGAACGAGCTCGATGATGGGCTGTTTTGAAAACTAAACTTGAGCATTTCTGCTGTTCAAAGCAGGGCAGATCTTTCCTTTCCATTTGCTTCGTGCCTGATCCAAAGCACAGCACCAGCCACCAGCTAACCTTGCTGCCTGATGACTGAGAACAGCTCTCAGAGCAATGACAGAAGACACAGACCACTACAGCTGCAGAGGAACAGTCCTGATGCTGATCCACAGGATACCTCCACAGGGAAAAGCAGAGAGCAAAGCTGCTTACTGCAAAGGCATGGACTGTCCTGCTTCCCATCAAAGCAGAACATGGAAGTGTTCAAGGCCACGTTGGACAGGGCCAGTGAAAAGTGTCCCCGCCCATGGCAGGGGAGGATGGAATGAAATGAGCTTTAAGGTCTCTTCCAACTCAAATCATTCTGTTATTCTGTGGTAACCTGATGTTACAAGAAGGTTGCACTCGGCTACTCAGATTTTCCATTGGTTCAGATGGCAAAAAAGATGCTGCACCAGCAAGAGCTGCCATCCCCATGGCCCTTCTACATTTGCCCTTGCCTCACTCAAAAACTTTTCTGCTCTCTAAAGCCATGAAGATCTGGTGGGGAAGGTTGCTCAGGAAGGAGGCCAGAAAAATTTCTGCAAGAGGCTGTTTATCCCCTTCCCCCTTCCTCCATTAAGGAGTTTGTCACAGGAACGAGCCAACCAAGGGAACAAGGAAATGTTGCACAAACATCTGGAGAAACAGAGAGAACTCCTTCAGTGCTGGTCCCCAGTTCAAACACCACAGCTGCTAATGGTTGTGGTCCATGGCCAGGACTGCAGCTCCTTGTCTTCCCACAGCTGTGCTGTGAAACCACACCTGGCTCATAGAAATCCATATGCCAGAGAAATGGGATCGATTCCTCTTTTTTGCAAGGTCTAGACTGCATTCCTGCAGATCAGCTGCAGCACCTGAACCTTGAAGAGGCTTTTCAAAGCCAGGACTTAGCAGCTGACAGTGTTTTACGCCATAAAAATAACCTGATGTAAATGTTTTCTGCCAAGTGGAGGTTTAACAAGAGGGCAGTGGTTTGGTGTCCTCCCAGCAGGTCCCCTGGGAGGACGTGGGGTGCTGCTGGTTGGGACTTCATGGGGATCTGCTGTGGTTTGGTGAAGCATCTTTTTTTGTCTCTTCCCCAAAGCTGGGTTTCAGTGCAGCCCAGAGCTGCAGTGACAGAGCTGCTCACTGCCCACCCCCCAGAATAACACAGCTGGTGCCCAGGATCACAGGGTAACCCCAAGCTGTCACCTCTTGTCCTTCAGCAGCCATGGGGGGTCATGAGAGGGCTCCAAGGACAGCTTTGCCTCACCTCTCCAGCACAGCCCTTTGAGGGCAGGTCAGAGAATGAGCTGTGCAGCCACACCCTCGTACAGAAATGGAGAGACACCTTCACAGCAACAGCAGAACGGTATTTCCAGAGGGGACGGAGCAGCAGGATGGGGTTTGCAAGCCTGGAGGGCCTTTTTCCCCTCTCAAATTTGCTAAACTGCAGCTCTGCTGAGTGCCCACCCCCCGGTAAGTGCTGCCTGCTTGGTGCCCGTGTGCTGGGCCAGGCACTGACGAGCAGCACATCCCCCTCCCGGGACCAACCACTCCCACCACCCTCCCTGAAACCAAAAACCCCCAACACTACTGTGAGGGAAGGAGATCCCACTTCGAAGCCAAGAAGTGACATTAATAACCAGAGGTAATTGGAGGAGCAGAGAGAAAACACAGTTGCATTAATTATTAAGGAAGACTAATTGTTGGCGAGAAAAAATTAGGAGACACCGCTCACGGCCGGGTGTCTGATTGCCATGGGAGCTCCAGGCTAGCTAGAAAAATCTCTTTGTGCTGAGCACACACAAACCCAGCAGGTCTTTCACATGAGGATCACCCGTACCATCAGAACTCCAGTGTTTTTTGACTCCAAGGTGCCTGATCAGGCTCAGCATCCTTTGCCTTTACTCCCATCCCACACCACAGTGCTGGCTGTGGGCAGCACTGGGGTTATATAAGCTGCTGGTTGATCAGAACTATAAATGAGGGGATTTTGGTCAAAATGTGGGTTTTTCAATAGAAAATCGTGTGAGATTATAATCAAACATTTTCTGGAAAGCACCTCGTGTTAGCAAGCATTTTGATTCATTTTTTAAAGACTGATGTATTTAGTCATGACATGCTAAAAATGAGTAGCTTTGCTTTGCTAGCTTGATGGAGGAATTTTCTTTTAAAGATTTTTCTTTTAAACTTTAAAGCCAATCTTAGCAAAACGTAGCACAGAAGGTCAAAAGTAAAAATCTGAGTGAAATGATCAAACAAAAAAAATTTCCATGGCCAGCAAAATTCTTCAGTTTTTAACTCTGTGAAAATATTAGAAAAAAAATTGAAGTTTTTTTTTTTTTTTCTGCTTGGATCATTTTAGGAAAAGAAACAAATGGAAAAAAAGAAGAGAATATTTTGAAACCTGTGAAAAGTATTCCTTGCTACAACTGAACACAGCCATCAAAGGCAGAATTGGTCACACCAAACTTCCTGGGGATCTGCTAAGGAACCCAACAGCTGCTTTGGTGGATGGGAATGACTTTAATTAATTTTCTGATAGAAGACAATTCACAGCTAAAATAAATCAGCTGAATTCTACTGCCCCTTCCAAGAGCTGGTGCCCAGTTTGGTGAAAAACATTACATTTCATGCTGTTAGATTTTCTCTGGGGACAAGACTCCGAAGGTGCTGTGTTCCCCATGGAGGATAACAGGGTGCTGCCTGCCTTGCATGAACCACAGCTCCCATAGCATCAGCCAACACCCTGGAGAGCCAAAAGCCCCGTGGTCAGACCAAAATCAAGGAAAGCAGGGAGGAGGATGCTGGGAAGCCCTGCACTGTGGGAGCCAGGGATGCACAGGAGTCTGGAGAGAGGAGGAAGCCCCAGGGCCCCTCCGGGCATCCCAGAGTCAGGTGCCCCCATCACCCCGGTCATGCTGGCCCTGGCAGCACCTCCAGCCTCGGGCAGGCTGGAGCACCCTGGGGATGCAGGATCTGAGTCCCCAGCACGCAGGGTCAGGGTGCAGGGCCGGGGGAGTGCTGTGGTTCCCAGCCCGCCGGGGAGCCGAGCCACAGGCAGGTGAGATGAGTCACATCACTTTCAAATTTCCCCACATGGCCCGCCCCAAAAACAGAGAAATGAAAGAGCCCTGGGCCAGCCTGGCCATGGCCAGTGTGGGGCGAGGGGCCTGGCCAATGGATGGGAGCTCGGGGTGGCAGCTGTGCAAAGCTGGTGGCCAATACCACGGGAGATCAAGGTGGCAGGTGTGCCAAGCTGGTGGTCACCACCATGGGAGCTCAGGCTGGCAGCTGTGCAGTGCTGGTGGCCATCACCACCACGGCAGAGCGGGGATTTGCCAGTCCCAGAGCCCTGTGTCACCAGCTGTGCCATGTGTCCCGCTGCTGGGAGCATCCCCAAGGCTGTTCCTGGCTCAGAGCTGGCAGATGGATGGGGTGAGCTCCATCCCTGCTCCTCTGCCCTGCACACAAGCTCCAGTCCAGCCCCAACAAGCTGCCCCATGAGCGTTTGCTCCAACGTCACTTCTCAGAGGGGGTGAGATGAGATGAGTCGACGCGTCGTCTACGAGAAACAAAACCTACCAAGTTTTGCTGTTGCTGATTCAATGAGGAATTAATTCCTCTTAGCTGCAAAATTAGTCATCGTGCCACAGAAAGAAAGGTAGAAGGTCAGGCTGCACCGAGCATGCACTGCTGCTGGGGAAGGTACCTGTGACTGGTGGGACTGTGCCTTGTGCTCTTTACCCATCAATCAATCCAAATTAGCAAGTGATTAGTGACTTATCAGGGACATTAGGACAGGCTGGATGAGGCCCTGGGCAACCTGGTCTAGTGGAAGGTGTCTCTGCCCATGGCAGGCAGGTTGGAATTGGATGGTATCTAAGGTTCCTTCCAACCCAAAGCACTCTGTGATTCTATGCTATTATTAAGGACATTATTAGGTACATCATGTCCCAGGAGCGCTCACAGGAGGACCCCCAAGGGAATGCTGTCATTTGGGGCACTCGGGGATCCGGAGCTCACGCCTTCCCACCCAGCTCTGCAGAGTTCCAGGGTTGGGATCCAGAGCTCACACCTTCCCACCAGCTCTGCAGAGTTCCAGGGTTCCTCTAAGTTCTGGAAACACCTCCCAGCTCAGAGCCCCAGACCTTCAGACACATTCACCCCTGGCTGCCCCGGGGTGTCACAGGAGGAGATGCTGTGATAACAGATCACCCCAAACACCCGCTGCAGGCCGTTTGTGGCACTGCCTGCACCGCCGGGACCGGAGCCCTCGGCAGCCGCGGGCGACGGCAGCGCCGACTCATTTCTCGCCTCAGCTCGCTCTTTTCTCCTTTCTCACTTTTGCTGCAGTCCCAGCGCCCCAGCCCGCTGCCGCAGCACAGAGGAAACAGGGAAAGTTAAAGCCACCCACGCCCTCATCCAGCCATGCACCCCTCCAGCAAAGCCCAGCTTTGGCTGCAGCTGCAGCATCAGCATCTCCCTGGCCCCTGCCCGGGCCAACCAGCGAGGCTGCAGCACGAGGGCTGGACCAGGTCCTCACCCTCAGCACCACCAAGGGTTCCTCCAGGGACCAGACACCACCTGCCCCATGGCCAGAGGAGCCCCATGCACCCCATCCCTGGCTGGCCCCAAAGTGCTCATGAGCAGCAGTGAGACGAAGAGGAAAGTAATAATATGCAGCTCTTAATTCTTGC